ATTTTTTATTAATTTGTTTTCAATCTATATAAAATGTATTATAATCATAAATTTTAATATATACAAATAATAAAACTGCAAAGTATATTTATTATTACGAAAATGTAGGAAAACATACATAAGACATAAAACCATGTGGTCACATGGTTTTCACATTTTCACACAAAAAAAATTTTCATGTGATAATTTTTGTATACCTATAAAAAATATAAGATGCTAAAAAAGTTTATTAAAAAAAGAAGGGCACATACCAAGTAACTCATGCTGATGCGATCAAGCTTTTTCAAGCAGATCTCTTAAAAAAAAATGGACCCAATTCTTAAAATAAGCTGCTTATCTCTTGTCCTCTAGCAATAACTTTAGATTAGTTTATAATTTATACTTTAAATAATTTAAACTGACCAATACTTAGATTGAACAACTTTTATATAACATTTCATAGGAAATAGAAATAAGATCAAGATATGATGAAAATTTAACTATACTTTGACGAAAAGTTAATCAAGGTTTTTGTATATTTATTTACAACTAGTATTTAATTTAATAACAATGTATTAGTAAGTGTATATTTGCATTGTATATTTAATATCTAACTGATTCAAGAATACTATATCAAACCATGGTGATGTAGCAGTTGATAGGATTTGTATTCTTGTAAAAACTGGAGGAATTGATCATTTACTTGGCATTCAGGGGTTTTTTCTGGTGGGTGAGATTTTATCAGTTCAAGGTTATCAAAAAGATTTTGACAGAGTTTGAATATGCTGATCATGTAAAAACGGTATGCTTTAACACTATTGCTAGCAATGCTGGAATGATTTCTGATGCCATATACAGGTAATTTACTTTTAAATATAATTTAAAAGCAGGACTCTAAGAGCTAATTACAATAAACAATTTAATTACGACCTCATTTTTCAGAATGAGAAACTATGCTGATAAACCACTGTTGATACTCATTTGTAGACATCATGTTTCAGAAAGTACTGAAGTATTGTTGGATAGCAGATACTAAAGATAAAACCATAAGACTTTAAAAAATCTCAAAAAGATCACAAGATCTTAAAAGGCATGAAATATAAGTAAAATGTTGATATGAAAAACTGTTTCATCACTCAATTCAAGTGGCAATCTTTTTTTGTGTGTGAATTTGTGATTCATGATTTAAAGAACAAGGAGATGAGGTAAGAAGACAAAGAAATCTTTAAGAAGACAATAGTGAATAAAGAAACTTGAAGACAATAGTGAATAAAGAAATCTTCAAGAAGACAATAGTGAATAAGGAAATCTTTAAGAATTCCTGGGTTAATTTTTCTCTTGAAAAATTCAAGCTTTAATGTAATAAAAAACATTAAAAAATTATTGATAAAATTAAATATCAGCATTAAATTTTTTAGAAACAGGAGAAGAGAGCAGAACACCTGGAGCTTATGTTGTTATGCTTTTGGAACCAACACTCAAGCCTCTCAATATTGACAAGTCTGAAGCAGTGCATCGTGTATGTTTCATGGCAAAGAGTATTTTATAATTGAAGATCATGCTACTTCTAAATTCAAACAATGAATGACAAACGATTTAAATAACTGTAAAAATACAACAATTTCAATGAAATGACTTCATTATGTTTTACATTTTTTTACAGAATACAGCAAATGATCCAATTCAAATTATGAACTTTCAACCATACCAATGAAAATTTTGAAACAAGGTGAAGATGTCTACCTAAAATATAATGGAAACTGCATTTTCAGTGGAACTTTTAAAGCTACTACAGAATCTAAGTTGCATGTAAATGCTATTAAAGGTTATTTTAAATGATTATATTATTTTTAGGAAGTGATATTATCCACGGAGAGACATTACCTAAAGATTTTGGAAGATTCTTTGTAACAAAAGTAAAGAAAAACTTAAACAAATATCCAAAATTTGATATTGATAAAATTAGTATTGGTGCAGCAATACTTTGGAACCTCAGTGATTGTAAAAATTTAAACCTATTGAGCTTGAAAAATCTGGCACTGAAGAATTTATTTCATCTCTATGTGATACAACTCCAAAAAAAAAGGAGGACCCATTAAAATGGATTAGAAATGTTAGAAAATTTAAAGGTAAACAAAAGATATCTCCGTGCACAAAAGAGTGGTTTAAACAAAGAAAAGAAAATAGTAGGGGGTAAAAAAAGGCAAAAAAGGTGTGCTGAGAAATGCTGGTTTCAGTGTTTAGAAAATTCTACAAAGCAGCATTGAGCAACTATTTAATTTACATTGGTCAATGAAGTGTATTGATGAGAGGCGCCAATATATTGTGACAAGGGTAACAGAGGATGAACCAAAACAAAGAAGGAAAAAGGAGCAAGAAAATTTACATGCCACAAAAAATATGCGCTTGAAATGTGTATCTGTGCACACATTTTTCTTGATACTGTAAACATATTACAGCAAAAACAGTGATGGCAAAAAATCAGTAAAAACAGTGATGGCAAAAAGTAACAGGAAGTGTAAAGAAAGGTTTAGTGCTCACCACAAAAACTCCCCAAAAAAAGAAATTGAATGGGAACAAAATATCATTGATCATATTCAGACAAGAGTCACAGTTTCTTCCTCAGGAGCTTTTAATTAAGGAAAAGCATACTCTTCATAAAGTACAGCAGTGAGAAAAATCTAGTTATCAAGGGATACAAGTTTTATCAGAGAGTTTTTAAATGTAGATTTCGTTTGAAATTCTAAAAACTTAAGAAAGATCAATGTGGAACTTATAAAGTTTTACAAAAAAAAAATAGAAAAGAATAATGAAGATTATCAAAAGTATAACAAAAATGTCAGCGACAAAATATTTACTTAAAAAACTTTGCTTTTGACTCAGAACAAATTCATTTATTGCCATGCATATTGTACAACTGGAGCTATTCATTATTCCAGGTGTCTACAAAACCTCACTGTTAGAAAACTTGATTCTTTAAAGACATATTTATATTTGTGGAATAAGAATGAAAAGGGAAAAGCTAGCTGCATCAACCTTGTTGCAAAATGTGATATGACCGAATACTCCACTAAAGATTTGAAATAGAGCAACAATCATTTTTTTCATTGTTCTTCTTTTTTTCGTTTTTCTTCTTTTTCTGAAAAAAACCATATGCTATAAAGATAAGCAAAATGAGTAAATCATTGCTGATCTATATACTCTATATATATCAGATCAAAAATAGAAAAAAATGTTTTGGAACTGAAATATTTTCTTTTACATTCAATAAAACAGAATATCTGTCTTGATAAAATATTTACGCTAAGTCATTTCACAAATTAGGACCATTTGACAAGTTACGCCGTTTGGCAACTTGTACATAATACACAAAGGCATACATATACTTTATAGCTCTAATGCTAAGTTTATTGCAAACGGTAAAAATAGCTGATACCTGACAAACCTATATCTTAACAATTCAAGTTGACAATATAAGATCAAGTTGAAGATTTAAGATTATTGCCTAACCATGTACAATAAATCCTAACCTTTCCAGCTGATTTTCGTAGCTGTAATTTATAAACTCAATAATATTTTTTGTTGCTTTTCTTTGTTTGCTTTCTACAGTTTTTTTCACTTTTTTAAGTAAGCACACCAGACAGGTGCAGCATATTCCAAGTAAGGTGTTGGTAAAGATAGATACAATTGTATTATCTGCAACTAATCTACTACTACTTTTAAACATTTTTGATTGGCAGGGAAAGACAAATCCACTTTATTAATTGTCTAAAAAAGTTAAATAAAAAAGTTTAGAAAGGGGCAAAAATACCTAAGAAACTGTCTATAAATATCTATTTAATTTTGAGAAAAGATATTGTTAGTAGAATTCTTAACTTTTAGTTATAGGCATTAAAATCTTGTGTCACAGAATAAATAGATAGGTTCTTTCCATGACACAAGTTTCAATGCCTATAACAAAAAAGTTATTATTCCACATGCAACATCTTTACCTGAAACTAAATAGGCCTTTATAGGTAGCATGTTAGGTATTATTGCCCCCTTCTAAACTTTTTTATTTTTTTTTTAATTTCTAATTTAGTTTAAAAAGGTCATTCCTTTTGAAAAAAAAAGAATTTTCAATCCTGTCTGTAAACTCATTAGATATTTTGCATATAATGTTAAAAGTAAATGCAGAAAACTTGCCAAAAATGCCTAAAATCAAAGTTGTTAGACTAAAATAAAGACTTACAAAATCTTAATAAGAAATAAAATAAAAAAAATAAATAACACATAAAATAAAATCTTAGATAAAGTTTGACTTAAAATATAGCAAACGATTGATTATCATAAAATTAAAGATTTGGAAAAATTGCTGAAATATCTAATAAAAGCAAGGTAATTTAGTACCGAAAATATAAAAAATTTAATATTTGTACACACAAAAGTACAGGGTTTACTTTTTACTTTGATGTATAACACTGTAAACCCAAATGGTAACCACTAACTACCAGCTGGGGTAAAAAAGAAAAACCCTTAAAACTTGGGCAATCAAACATCTAACTATAAAAGCAACCATCAAACCTAAAGGTCATAATGTACTTGATTGAGGTGGTTTAAGTTAATAGAGTTGATAACAGTTGGATTTAACTTAATTTTAAAGGAGTTGATAACAGTTAGATATGTACCTTATGTCCTTTGTCAATATATTGGAATAATCTATTGACAAAGGGTCTAAGGCTTTTTTGTTACAAATTGGCACAATCAATAAATTTAAAAGGTATGAATACTTTTGAAACTTAATATCACTAAAACTTTAAATTTTTTTGGAAGTAAGATTAAATTTTGGAATCATATATATAAATACACATACATATGTATATATTAATGCTGAAAAAAAACTTCCATTTCTATTACTGTTGAGGTTTGTGTAATTTTAGCATTAATTATTCCTGACCTTTTAGTTAAAACAACTTTTTTACATATTTCTTATAATATAATGTGTTGTTGTTAAAAAGTAAGTAAATTAAAAATAGAAATACTTGCTATTAGGTAAAAGATCTGGTTGCTTTAAATTCAGCTGCAGATAACTATATGGAGGAAAAACAAGATCTTTTGCATTTTGAATACAGGGCTGTTGATCTTCATCAGTTGAACATAACCAAACATAAGAGCCTGTGCTTGCTGGGTGCACAAGTTCAGTGTTTAACTTTAGTGCATTAAACTTACCAATTGTTCGATTTCCTCCAACAATTTTTATCTCAGAACTCAGTGTTTTTATATTTAAATCAAAAGTAGCAGAACTTTTTAGCTCATTTTTATTTGCATCACTTACTGTGTATCTTAAAATAACACCATAATTATTAGCCTGAAGATTTTCTCGAGGTATATAAAACAAATCTGAATAGCTATCAATGGTTGAAGGTAAATCTATACCAAGTAAAAGCCAGTCAGGAGTAAAGGTACGATTTTGGTTTGAGCATAATGGATAAGTAACAAAACCTTTTAACACTGTAGAATCATCATCTGAAAATAATGAGTTTAAAAGTATCTCAACATATGGTACACAATTATTAGAAAAACTAAATTTTTTTGAAGCATTTCCAGTGTTTCCAAAAACATTTTCGGCTTGTACATAAATATAGTATTTCTGAGAGGCTGTAAACCAATTCGATTGAATTGTAATCTCAGTCTGTCCCTGGAAATCTTGGAGTTCAGCAGCAAACAATCCTGAACAATGGAGTTTAAGTATAAATAAATACAAAATATAAAAATATAAACACAAACAACAAAAACAAAGTATTAAATTTAAATATATATATATATATATATATATATATATATATATATATATATATATATATATATATATATATATATATATATAACCCCTCCCGCCACAGAGAATTTCGGCAGAAAATCTGCATTTTTTCACAAAAAACACAATATTTGTTGCACAAAAATTTCCTTAAATTTTAATTTGATCAACGCTGTCAAAAACAGTCTAGAATAGCCCCTATATATATATATATATATATATATATATATATATATATATATATATATATATATATATATATATATATATATATATATATATATATATATATATATATATATATATATATATATATATATATATATATATATATATATATATATATATATATATATATATATATATATATATATATATATATATATATATATATATATATATATATATATATATATATATATAATTATATATATATATATATATATATATATATATATATATATATATATATATATATATATATATATCATAGTAGTAGGAAAAGGACAGTTCTGGGACATTTTCATTTTCAACCATCTATTCAACTATATATTTAATTAAATATATGGTTCATTTTAATCCATAGTGTGTATAAATTGTATAATTAAGAAATAAATTTTTAAATCAACTTTTTAAATTTAAAAATTATTTTTCAAATTAGTGTCAATTTCGTTTCTTGTCGTCGCGGAATTTGTGTGACATCATCGGTAAAGCCATTTCTATTAACTTTTCTTATATTATATTTGATAATTAAATCTTCTTTTTGTAAGTCTATCAGTTCTCTATATACGTCAACTATTGTGATATCTATTTGTGTAATTATTTTCGATTTTAATAGTCTATATTCTATTTCAAATACTCGATATTTTCTATTTTTTGAATCTGGTGAATATATATGTTCAATGTCTGTTTTTTCACTATCTAAATATGTAATACTATTTGTTATATATAAAGCAGAGTTTGAATAATAATTATTTGTAATTTCTAATCAGACTAAAGCCATTTCATACTCTTTATTTTCATCAAGTTCAATAGCTGGTAAAAACTTTCTTGTTATTATTGAACTATTTCTGCTAATGCATATTTGAATATTATTATTTATTTTTATACTATTTTCACACACTTCATTTTGCAATAGATTTTGCAATAACATTATACACATCGTTTGCTTCTAGATGAAGTTGTTGTTACAGTGGTATTTGTATTAGCATTACCAGAAGTAGCTGTTACGCATACGTTTACCTTAATATTTGAGTTTTGCATCTTTTTTATATACAAGATAACTATTTATAAATTAACGCTAATGAATTGCAATATTCACGCTTGCACAACCACAGAGTATTATAAATACTCTTACCACAGTGAATTTTTAATACTTTGAAAATCAACTCCTTCATCTAGCTTTTTTAAAACATAGAGACACAAGTGTCCACAAAATGAAGTATCTCCAAACTGAATTCTTCTACTATTATAATAAACAGGGTTGTGTAAATATTGAACAAGTTCAACTGGAGGTAGTAATGCATAAGAGTCAAAACTTAATTTCTCATCTCCATCTTTATACCAGCAAATCCAATGAAATCCATTCATACTTGAATCTCCAGTATTTAATATTCCACATTCTTTTTTTTGTGTACTTTTAGGTAATTCATCTTTTACAAATACACCTCTAAAATTTTTTATTTTTAATTTTTTTTGCTGCTTTTATTAACTGAAAGTTTGTTAGCGGTTTATTCGGTAATATAATTCCTTCAACATTGATTCTTTTGTTCATTTTTATTTAGATTTTATAGAAAAGATTTTATAGATTTTTTTTTATAGAAAAAATCAGACTTTGTTAGATTTTTTTATATCTCTTCGAGATATAAAAATTACTTACCTGTTTTTTATCTTATTTGAGACTCGTCGACCTTGTTATGCCTGCCTGCCTGTTTATTTCTAATCAATCTGAAATGAAAAGTTGGGTTTCAATTCTAATTTATAATGTCTATATGCTAATGTATGTATACCATCTTCTAAAATAACTCTTTTATCGTCTTCTGCGCTCAATGCTATTTTGTTTTTTCTTCTGTATAAACATCATGTAAATGAGATCTTATGACATTCGTTTTTCTCATTTGATCTTTTTTATTCATAAGGCAGTCTTTGTAATCTTCATGTGTTATATATTTTTTAACTACATTTTTCTTTACTCCCTAACATCTCTTTTTATCTTCTCCATCTATTTTGTATGAATACAACTTTGATCTTAGTCCTACAAATTCTTCAATTTGTTTTCCTGCTGACTCATCTTTAAACATACCGATAACTTTCTTATTTAGTCCTACTTTAAATCCATTTTGAATGGCTAGATGATTTTTGTCAAATTCACTTATATCAAATTCGCTTTCAACATCATTTGCAATATCAGCAAAAGTCTTTTGTATTTATTTTGTAGGCTAATGAATCTGTGTCTGTGAATAACAGTTTAGCTCTATCACCATATTTACTTTTTATGTAATCATAATGAAATTCATACATCAATGTCTTACTTAAATCTAAAATGCACATACCCAAGTAAATAGGTTTATTATATACAAGTTTTGTTCTTTTCATATGGATTGCTACCAAGTTTTCATCAAATATCATTCTACTTTCATAGTTAGGTTTTGATGCTAATTTAATAGCATTTTCTCTTTCAGTGACTAGTCTCACATCAACTCTGTTTTCAATGTTCTCCATTGTTTTTCCAAATACTGAGTTATTCATGAGTTTAAAAAACTCTTTTTCAAAGTCGCTTGTTGCTTTTGCTCTTAGATTTGTATTGAGTTCAATATATTTACTTAACTATACACTATCTTTAAACTTTATACCTCTGTGAATTTTAGTTAATTTCATTCCCAATCTTTCATACAGTTTCAAGTTTTCATAGTGTATAATATAATTTTTCTTGTGATTCAAATTGGGTACTAATTTTTCAACATTGTCTATTTTCAATCTTTCAGGAGCAAGTGGATAATCATTATGAGCATTATGTAAATTTTCAGGATATTCTAAATCTACTTCTAATATACAAGAAATAGATTTCCAATTTTTTAATTCTTCTTCATTCATCCATTGAAAACCATGAGTGGGAAGGGGTTTGCTTATTGCCCATCCATATAAATTATTAGCATCTAAATACTGTATGTAATTAGATTCTTTACTTTCATCATAAGTTTCCATATATTTATTATTAGCAATTCCGAGTCTGTTTGAAATCATGCTAATACCTTCACGTATTCCTTGTTTAATCATCAGAATCATGTCATAATCACTCAGCAACTCTAATTGTATTTTTGTTTCTTTTTCATTTTTATTTTGTTTTTGTTTTTGTTTCAATGCTGCATCCCATGCTAATCCTGGTGCAGTATAATACCAAGCAGGATCTAATTTATAGTTTTTTATACATAGATCTCTAAAATTTTCAAAGACATCAGCTAATAACAATACATCTGAAACATTGTATAAATTATGATAATCTCTAAAGGTTTTACAATTAAACTCTATCCATACAGTTTGTGCATGTAAATAATCTTCATCACTAATACCTTCATTATTTAATCTTGAATAAAATGATTCTTTTGGTGGTAATTGTGTTTCAGACAATTTATTAATAGAGTCAACCCAATCATATGGGTAAACACCTTTTCTTAATAATAAATCTAACTCTTTTTTTGAATAGTATTTTTTATTATTTTTAAATTGTTCTTTTGTTAAATTTTTTACTAATTCGTCTAAATTAAAAGCCATAAATCTATAACTATCAACAAAACCTATTTCCTGCTGAACCTCTACATTCTTACCTTCTTTATTAATAAATTCACCAAGTTTAATTTCTTTAGAAAAGCTAAAATACTTTTCTTCATTGTTGGGTATACAATTTATTTTTTTTCCTTTCAACAATTTCTTTATGAATAAATGAAAGTCAACCAGTTAAATTATGAAATATACTGGAAAATAGTACTGGAAAGAATTTTGGGATTTTATAGTGTAAATTACAATCACTATGAGCAGCTCCTCTATATTTACCTGTAATATGACAATGATCGCGTACTCTATCCTCTTTTAATTCTTTTTTGCAAATGTGACATTTGCATTATTAAAATCATTTTAGTCTTCGGTAGTAAATATCATCTTTTTTGGAAATCTTAAATAATTGTCGTAAATCTTCTTAATATCCGCTTCTAACATATCGACAAATTTTTGTGCAACATCATCATCTTCACTACTTGCAGTAAATGTGACTGGTTTACTTTTATATACACTTTCATCAAAACATTTAATGTAGTAACAGAATAAACTTGGTGTATGCCTTTGATATTGTTTTGTATAAGATTCATTTGGATTAGGTGTGCAAATGTTGATTGGTTTTATAAAACTTTCAAAGTCAGCATATACTACAAAGGGCACTCTCATAGATTTTTTAAAATGGTTAAACTCAATCATTGTATTCGGCTCTGGAAGTTCAATACGCACTGAATTATGAGTATCACAAGACAATTTATGTTTTGATAAAGATTCTTCAGTACTAAATGCTTGTAAGCAATTTCTACCAAAGTGCTTTTTACCATCATGTTTAGATATTTGTGATGAAAGTAATCTACTTAGACCTTTTATTAAGCAGTTGTGATTAGTCTCACCATTTGAAATGAGTAATAAATCTATTTGATGTTGTCTATTTTTATTTTCAGATATGTGTAAAAGATAAACTGAACTTTCGTATCCAAAGACATTAACACTTATGTCTTTATTTTTTTTTTTTTCAAATAGTGTTATCTGATTGAGTGACACTGGGAATTCTATTTTTTCCCAATTTAATTTTTTAGCTTGTTCTTTTAGATCTTTATCTACTATTTCAGGATGATCGTCTTTAGGATTAAAAATCTAGCAA